TGTGTGTGCAGATGCACCTCCCAAGGCTGTTTCTCGACAATTAGACCCAATGCAAAGGCTCTTGCTTCTCTTCAGCTTCTGGATCTTTGTCTTCTCTTTGGTGCAGGCTCCAAAGACACCATTATCTTCGGATTGGGTGGCCATCCTCAAAGACATAATTTTACCTCTCAGTTCACTATTAGGTGGTCTCTCTCAACTAAATCGCATTCTGTGTTAGCTCAGTCTCTGGGAACCATTTCTTTCCCCAAGCTCACAGGCACTGAAAATTGCAAGGTATCCTTCTCCAGAGAGCCAGAACACACAGACATACTCCAGCTACGCAGAGTCAGATCAGATGGCCTGCAGGGTGTGTCTGTTAATCTACAGTTAGGCTAAATCAATGTTGTACAGCAGCAATCAGTCCCCGACTTTCATCAAAATGGCCATTAATCTTTAAACTCAGCCTGTTTAGAGATTCGCTCTTTCTTCCTTCCTAACCTGGCGTTCAAAACTAGCTTCTCACTGCTGCTCTACCTGATTTGCCCCTAGTTGGAATAAGATTTTCTCTCTCTAGAGCTCCTGGTTTTTAATTTCTGTGCCACTCATCAACACCTTTTTACTGTTTGTAGCTAAAGAAAAAATTGTATTTTATTTGTTATTCCTGGTACTATGGAAAAAGAATACAGGAATAGAAACCTGAAATAGGTACAGTCCCAGTCTTCCAGGAGCTTATATTCTAGTAGGGGGCAGAGGCCAGGAGCACAGAGCACAAAACGAAAAAAAAAAAATTAGCTGAGAAAAGCTATTTTTCCCTGGGAACAGGAAAGTGTTGCTGTCACCTGCAGTAGGAGAAGTCTCCCAGTCCTGGACGTTGTGCCTGAGAGCTAGGCCTGAGAATAGGTGAACACTGCACCCCAACATATACACACAAAACCAGATTTGGGCCACCCAATTCCTAAGAAATCTACAAGTAGAAACAACTTAGAAAAAAAACACAGTTTCTCTCCCATTGCAGAGAAAATGCTTGGAAGCAAATTCTGTCAGTGATTTCACTCCAGAAGAAATGGCCAACTGCTATTCTTCCCCACAACATGAACACACACATCCACCCACCCATCTCTCTTTCCCTTTCTCTCTCTCTCTCACACACACATTCACACATATACAGGTTTACTTATACATATAACCATTCAACATTCACACACACACATGCGTGCATGCTCCCAGTGAGGACTTCTCATGAGGGGCAGAATTTCTTGGGAATGGAAAGTAGCAGTTCCGTAAGTCAAATCTGAAGGGTGGAGACCTTCCCATGCTTCCCACTTGACACTTCCTAAAGAAGCAGCGAGAACTACAGCAGGTGCTAGTGACGGTGACACCACAGGGATGAAACCTGGACTCATCGGGGTCCTACACAGTCCAATGAATATCACCTCTTGTTTCATCCAAGCTCAGAATCTATTCTGTGGGAGATACAGGAGCCTAATGACATGAGACCAGAATACATTTTTTACTATAGATAAAGGTGTTGGGGGGTTGTGGCATAGGTGAGAAGGCTCAATGAGCTGACTGGAACTCCCTTGAAATAAGCGGATGCCTGAGAAATGTAGGCCTCCTCTGCTAGGCTTTCCACATAATGGGAAAACAGCTGGGAATATATTTTCTGCAGACAAGTAGGCAAGAATCTGCGGGGAGTTCCTTCTTCCAGACTCGACAATCAGATCAGTCATTCTGGTTCCCACTGAGAGGAAAGAGAAAGGGATGGGGCAAGAAACCAGAGGGATGTCTCCTTGGATTGCTTTTTTTTCTTTTGAGATGGAGACTTGCTCTGTCGCCCAGGCTGGAGTGCAGTGACACAATATCGGCTCACTGCAACCTCTGCCTCCCAGATTCAAGCAATCCTCGTGCCTCAGCCCCCCTAGTAGCTGGAATTACAGGCACCCACCATCATGCCTGGCTAACTTTTCTATTTGTAGTAGAGATGGAGTTTTGTCATGTTGGCCAGGCTGGTCTTGAACTCCTGACCTCAGGTGATCCACCTGCCTCAGCTTCCCAAAGTGCTGGGATTACAGACATTTACCACCATGCTTGATCCAATGTCTCTTTTCATCAACGTATGAAAAATAGGAAGCTAGTATCCTCAGCCACAGGTCCCCCAAGCACTCTTTTCTATACTTCAGAGGACACAGTTGTCAGACAGCGGGCCGCACTCGGATGGTTCTGAGTGTGAGAGGCTTATGGGCCAAAAGAGACTCTCGAAGGCGTTTGAAGAGAGTGTCATGGGTGGCTGTGCCTTCCGCCTCTTTCCTCTCATTCCTCCCTTCTTGAGCCTCTGGATGGTACTAGGATGGATTGAGATCGACAAACCTGAACATGTTTTGGTCTGAGGTTTGGCAAACTCTGTAATTCCAAAGTCTTCCACAAATGTTTTGTGTTCTGCAAAACCAAGAAACATTGGCCAAGCACTTTTCTCCCTAATTTTTAAGCCCATGTGTTTTTAAAGGAAATGTAATCCGTATGTTTTGGGTACATTTATCGCAACTCATCAAACCGTGCTCCTCTGCATGAGTCACTTGATGTCTAAAATGCATGGGGAAGATCTTAGATTTATAAAAACTTTTTTTAGCACTGAAGGGCAATAGATGAGGTGCTGGATGGAAGGTGGTAAACTGGGTCCAGAGGCTGGCACATCAGTTCTCAGAAGATCTGCAAATAATTCTCTATATCCTCATCCATCAATTTTTCCCACCTGCAAAGTGGCATTAATAATTGTTGCCCTCATCAGATCTTGTGGGTAGCTAGTGATAAAGTGAGATTATCAGGTAATTTTGAGATATGTAAAGAGAAAAATACAAGGGCCTCTGTACTTGCCCTAACAATTTATTTTAATCCAGCTTTCCAGAGTGCTGGAGGGCAAAGATGGCTTCTATCTTTAGTAATTCATCCTTGTCCCATCATGAGACACATGACTTCAATGTCATTGTATCATGGTTTCACCTGCTAGGGAAGGTCAGGCTGGCTTCCTGTTCTCTACTAGGAAAACCCTTATTTACACAGGGATAGAAAGTTGATGAAGTCACAGGGAGCAGACTACAAGGACAAGCTGAGAGGATACAGTTTGTGTTACTTGGAAAAGCAAAGGTTCTAGGTGACTTGAATGTGTTTTTACACAGGGCCTTTTAGAGGTAGAGTTCTGTTCTCAATATCTGTTTAACACAACATAAATCAAGTGTAAACTGTTGGCATGATAAAGCCCAAGGCGCTCAGGCTTTGAAGTCAGGCAGGGTCGGTTTTAATACCTGCTCCAGCTTTACTACGGGGCGGTAAGAAAGCTGTTTAACCTCTCCGAGACTCAGTTGCCTCATCTGTAAAATATGAGTCGTTTTGAAGATTAGAGAAAACATAATTAATAATTCAGTAAGCCCATAGTGCAGAACCTTGGAATAAAAGGCAACAGGAAATGGCTCACAAGCACGTTCTGCCGACCTGGACATGTAAAATAAGCTAATGGGAAGGAAGAGGATGGGCCATCTGAAATGAAGGTAATAGGAATTCATTCCTCACTGGCTAAATTTTGAAAGTGAAGGCCTTTGTCTCGTTATAGACAAAGTGATCGAACAGGAAAGCATTTTCCATGTAGTCCATATGCCTGCTATGCTCTACCACTAACAAGTAGTTGCTTGACCAAAAATATATTGCTCAGTCTTATCATCTACAAGCTGGAAGTTGAAGTGATTGTTACTTCAAATTTATTGTTACTTCAAGTGATTGTTACTTCAAAATTATATGTACTTTACTCAGTACATATAATTTTTAAAAATTCTAAGGTGAATACAATTTTATTAAAATCTAAATGTATTTTAAATATATACAATAAATTTAGTAGAGAAGTTACTCATAAATTATTTTGTAAAGAAATTGATTGTCAGGACTGATCTTTGCAAATAATTCTCTATATCCTCATCCATCAATTTTTCCCTGGATAATTCATAAACCTGGATTATAATATAATGCACTGCATATTTCACAAAATGGTTTAAAATGAAAGTTTTTGGTTTATTTGAAAACTCTTACAGAAAGAATACTAAAGATAACTCCTAATAATCTGTCATTTGAATGTAAATAAATGCCCTCAAATTATGAAAAAAATCTGACAAAGTAAACGGTCATTGCAAAGCCTATGTACTTTGAGACAGATGTATCACATTTACGGATTCAATACTGTCTATACGAGATGAAATTTTCTGATCGAATTATCTTAGATGCAGCTGCTTTCCTTATCCATTTTCATTCTCTCTTAACTTTCCATAGGTAACAGCTTTTAATTTCATAGAGGAGGAGTGAGACAGAATTTAGAGAAAAGAAAGAATTATCAACCAGAGAAACAACACAGTCTCTAAGGACATTTATATCAGGAACAAATAGTCCTATCAACTTCAGCAATTCTTAAGAGATTCACTACATAATAACCTAGTCATAATGACTGAGGCTAAGTCACCAAGGAAGGGGTGTTCTATAAAACCCTCTTTTCTAAAGCGGGAAGCATTTAATATATTTTGGAACTATTTCCTAGGGGAAAAAGGTTAAATTTTTTCACACTGTTTTAGCTCTTAAGGTAGTAATTTTCTGGAAAATGTTACTTGTCTACGACTCCTTGTTTCCTGGTCATGCAAAATATATGAGCTATCACTGCAGGTGCCGAAGCCACCTACTGACACTTATCAGAAAAAATAATGGCTATCCTTTAGTGATAATAAATTACCATAAAATTTCTTTTAAGTGACTCAGTAACTAAATGCGATGTAAGGAAGAAAACAGAACGAGGGATTTGATCTGGTGATTCAGACCACGCAAGGAAGACTTTGACGATTGCATTAGCTATCCACTTCTCTTTGCCAAAGTCTACACAGTGGCAGAGCATACGGGTGTTTTCTAAAAACCGGGAGCCGTGAGCCATCAACAGGATGTAACGGAAGTGACATCACGTGGGAAAGAAGTTTCTCTTCCGCAGTGATTCTTACCTGTTTCTCCCAGAATCTCTGAATCCTTTAGCAAAAGGGTTTCGGTCAATTTTTAATCTGGTAATCTAGAAACAAACAAATAAGTATGAATTGCTTTTATATTAACTGATTTCTTTTTTAGTAGTCCTAGAAAATTACAAAAATCACTGTTTAAATAACAGCTGTTGCCCTTATTTAATTTCCTTTCAGCTTGAGATTTAATTTGAAGCTGTATATAGAAGTTGGCCTGGCACACAGATGTCTGACCCACCTGACTCACTTCTCCATAAAAACTAAAGTTTGCCCAGTATGTGACTCTATAAACTCTCTTCTACTTACCTTCCTTGCCCCAGAGTGGTGATAAATCACTTGCCTAGACAGACATTGAAATGGAAAACTGGTCAATGGTCACGTCTGTAGTACTTGACACACGGGAGGCACTTAAAAAATGCTTGTTGAATGAATGAGTGAGCAAACAATGTGTGAGTGACTGAATAATTAATAACGGACTCAGTCAATTCAGTCAGGTGCAATCAGACCACCAGACAATCTGCCTCAGTCCGAAAGACCCAAAAAATTGACTGCATTTTCCATTTCACTGAAGGCGTGCCTTTCCTGCTACTAGAAATTGTTCATTTAATGACCTGAAATGTTCATGCAAAAGACAGAAAAAGTAGCAAGACTTTTGCCAGGGTCTTACCCAAAGGAAAATCTACAAATGTGAGACTGAATGGGGCAGAATGCAGTACATGTCATCCAGTATCCAAGACTCACAAGCAAATCAGTAATGAAGAGTCAGTTTCATAAGGCTGACCAGCCCAGCATATTCAACTGTGTCACCAGCTTGGACAGGTCCTCAGGGGGCATTCGGGTCAACATCCACTCAACGCATAACTCTCCCTCCATTGCATCCTATCTTAGTTCCAGCAAACCCTGCCATGGTTGTGTCTATTACCCTCATGCCTATAAACTAGAACAAGTCTGAGCAACATATTCCATATACACACTAGTGTTTCCACTTTCCTCCTTGGTACCTCTGTGTCTGAACCAATTGTTAATGACTTGGTAGGGAGTCATTAACTCCCTAGAGAGTTAGTGGTGGGTGCTAGGGAGCTCAGGCGAGAAGGAAGGCACTCCCAATTCCAGGTAATTCTAGAAACAAGGTAATCTAATTATTTGAGACTACCTGCATATTTTTGATGATTGCAGAACTGTCACTAAGATCGCTAAAATTGTTTCCTGCATTGCAAATCTCACCTCATTTCATCAGAGTGGAATTTCCCAGGACCGCAGTCTTTAAAAGCAATGTGAGAATCTGTTTACTTTGCTTTTGGTGTTTGAGTCATGAAGTTTTGCACATGGAGGGATAGTATTAAGAGAAACAGCTAATGTAGATGACGAGTTGATGGGTGCGGCAAACCACTATGGCGTGCATATACCTATACGACAAACCTGCATGCTCTGCACGTGTATCTCAGAACTTAAAGTATAATAATAATAATAACAAAGCAATGTGAGATTCTGACAAACAGACTCGGACTTGAAAGAGTCTTCAAGGCTTCAAGGCTATTTTTCTTCCCAAATATTCCTTGCCTTTGAAATTGCACACTAATTATGCAGCACTAGTAATGTAGCAAAAGCAATTTTGCATGTGTTTTATAGACCAGAGCAGGAGCCTAAAGGTTTGGCTTTCTAAAGTCCAGTGTCTGCCATGTGAATATGGTACTGAATTTAAAGAGTGTCACTGCTTTTCTGTGTTTGACTCAAAATCAGTTATTTCTTCCTCCATAATCCACGGCAATAAACCATGCACCATATTTTCTTTTCAAGTTGGGGTTATAATATTTTATTTTCTCTTTCAAGTTGGTTTATCCCATCCAACTCATTTATGATAGGGATTTCTGACACATGACTGTGATGCCATGTTTTGGGGTCTCCACAGACTCCTGTAAATATTAACAGCACACTACTTCATGAGCCTGGGAGAAATGGTTGAAAATATATTTCCCACAGCTCATTTGATCCCAGGGCAATGGCTATGCTTGGAAATTTAATAGCAAATGCCTCAAATGTTAGAAAAAAAACCAGTATCTGTACACTTGTTTTAAATCTTTTATTGTGAGAATTAGAGAGCTTTGTGAAGAGCTTGGCTGTGCCACTTATCATCGGGTGCCTTGTCATCAGGCACCTGATGGTACACAGAGGTACCAAGGATGAAAGAGGAAACACTAGTGTGTATATGGAATATGTTTCTCAGGCTGATTCTAGTTTACAGGCATGAGGGTAATAGATACAACCATGGCAGGGTTTGCTGGAACTAAGATAGGATGCAGTGGAGGGAGAGTTATGCGTTGAGTGGAGGTTGAACCAAATGGCCCCTGAGGACCTGTGCAAAGCAGTGTGACAAGCAGCACAGGTGACAGAGTGGTGTACAGCCAGCATATATGTGTGTCATCCATTTATCCTCAAAAAGCTTATAATCTAGAAGAAAGAAGCAGATGTGCACTAACAATTACAATATCAAACAGAAGGTGATACGGTTCATAATAAAGGCACAGTATGATGAGAGCTTACACCAAGTAGGAATTACTGTAAGTGGAAGGGCTCTGGGGTCTCATGTTAGAGACAGTATGTAAGCCAGGCCTTGAAGGATGTGTAGGATTTTAATGAAAAACACAAGAGAAAGAAAAGGGACAAAGGAAGCATTTCTTTTTTTTTTTTTTTGAGGCAGAGTCTTGTTCTGTCACCAGGCTGGAGTGAAGTGGCGTGATCTTGGCTCATTGCAATCTCCGCCTCCTGGATTAAAGCAATTCTCCTGCCTCAGCCTCCCGAGTAGCTGGGACTACAGGTGCAGGAGCATTTCTTAAGAAAGGTACTATGTAACAAAGGACATGAACAGGCACTTCTCAAAAGGAGACATTTATGTGGCCAACAAACATGAAAAAAAGCTCAACATGATTGATCATTAGAGAAATGCAAATCAAAGCTACAATGAGATGTCATCTCACGCCAGTCAGAAATGGTGATTATTAAAAGTCAAGAGGCCAGATGTAGTGGCTCCTGCTTGTAATCCTTGTACTTTTGGAGGCCAAGGTGGGTGGATTGTCTGAGCTCAGGAATTCAAGACCAGCTGGGCTACGTGGTGAAATTCCATCTATACTAAAAGATGCAAAAAATTAGCCATGCATGGTGATGCACACTGTAGTCCCAGCTACTCAGGAGGCTGAAGCAGGAGAATCACTTGAACCCGGAGGTGGAGGCTACAGTGAGCCAAGATCACACCACTGAACTGCAGCCTGGGTGATAGAGTGAGACTCTATCTCCAAAAAAAATGAATTAAAGAAATAAAAAATGAAAATAAGTAACTAAAAAGTCAAGAAACAACAGATGTTGGCAAAGCTGTGGAGAAGTAAGAACACTTTTACGTTGTCGGCGGGATGCAAATTAGTTCAGCCATGGTGAAAGACAGTGTGGTAACTCCTCAAAGACCTAGAACCCGAAATAGCATTCAATCTAGCAATCTCACCACGAGGCATACACCCAAATAAATGCAAATCATTCTATTATAAAGATATGTTCATGTGTATGGTCACTGTAGCGCTATTCACACTAGCAAAGATATGGAATCAACCATAATGCCCATCAATAATACACTGGATAAAGAAAATGTGGTATGTATACATCATGGAATACTACACAGCCATAAAAAAGGAATGAGATTGTGTCCTTTGCAGGGACATGGATGGAGCTGGAAGCCAATATCCTATGCACACAAATGCAGGAATAGCAAACCAAACACCACATGTTCTCACACACAAGTGGGACCTGAATGATGAGAACACATGGCTACAGCAAAGGGCACAATACACACTGAGGGGGAGAGGAAGAGCATCAGGATGAATAGCCATGGGGGGCTTAATACTAGGTGATGGCTTGACAGGTGCAGCAAACCATCATGGCCCACATTTACCTTTGAAACAAACCCACACATCCTGCACATGCATCCTGGAACTTAAAATTTAATTTAATTTTTTTTAAAAAAGGAAAGGTCCCATGTAAGCATGAATATCAAAGTGGGAGAGAATAACATGTATTCCGGAAACATGGAGAAGTCTAGTTTATCCAGAGCTATGGGAAGAAGAGCAATGGCAGAAGGCTGGAGAGGCCAGCTTGAGGCCAGGTCATAGAAAGCCTTCGTTTTCTCAATCAGGCATTTGGATTACTCAGAAGGCAGAAAAGAGCAATTTCAGCCATATAAACTGAAGTATGATCCCAGGTATTGCTTGTGCTGGCAACTTCGGCTATGTCTGCTGATACCAAGGGTAACAGGGACAGTGCTTTGGAGGATGAAATGAATGCATTTTTAAGCTCAGTCATCTTTAGTTTAGTCCCATGGGTCCCATATCAAGAGGCAGCCTGAGACACTCCGAGCTGATTAGTGTCTTCTACAGTACAGAGAAGGGTGCAAAATAACTGAGCCGTAAGGCTTGCTGTCCTGTGGAAGACACGCATATGATATAAAGTGAATTCCCATCAGATAGAAAAAGAAGTTTAAAAAAAATTGTCCCCTTCTCATAGAGAGGAGAGGACAGACAACGCAAAAGCAGGCAGTTATACTGAATGAGCCTTATCTACCCCATTCACGCAAAAATCCAAAGACGGGGTGGGGAGACTCAGAGCAGCTTGGCAGGGTGATCTCCATCCATAGACGGGGGCGACTGCATAGAAGTAGTAATTCTACCTGGTCTGATTAAATGGAAAGAGGCCTGAGTTTGTACCTCCAGGCTCCCATGGGCCTTCTTTGGTGGGTAAGGGACTCAGAAGTCTTCTCACGCCATGAGAGGAAAAGCAGGATAACTATAACACAGATGTGCTACAAGGTTTAGTCAAATCCAAACAGAGGACCTGGGTGAGACCTGACATAAGACTGAGCCAGCAAGGAAGCCCCACGAGGCTGTGACCTAGGCAAGAAAACAAAGCACAACTTGAGCAGTTTCTTATCAGGAGAACATATCAGCACTAGGGACCCAAGGTCAGACCAGACCAGGTGCCTCACAGCACAGGCCAGTGAGCCCAGCAAACAGCA